CGCCGAAAAGAACTTGATTTACACTTATTTTGGTCACGAAAAAAAGTGTTTTACACTTATTTTTTTTCTAAAACTGAAACTAGGTCAAAACCTGGTCGAAACCTGGTCGGATACGAAAAAACTTGGTCAGATCCCTGGAAAAAGAAAATTGGTCAAAACCTGGTCGAAACCTGGTCGGATACTAAAATACTTGGTCAGACCCCTGGAAAAAATAGACTTGGTCAAAACCTGGTCGAAACGTGGTCGGATACAAAAAAACTTGGTCAGATCCCTGGAAAAAGAAAATTGGTCAAAACCCCCTGGAAAAAATAAACTTGGTCAAAACCTGGTCAAAACCTGGTCGGATACTAAAATACTTAGTCAAACCGCTGGAAAAAAGAATGGTCAAAACCTGGTTGAAACCTGGTCGGATACTAAAATACTTGGTCAAACCGCTCGAAAAAAATAAACTTGGTCAAAACCTGGTCGGATACTAAATTACTTAGTCAGATCCCTGGAAAAAATAAACTCGGTCAAAACCTGGTCGAAACGTGGTCGGATACTAAAATTGTTCGTCAAACCGCTGGAAAAAATTGGTCAAAACCTGGTCGAAACCTGGTCGGATACTAAAATACTTAGTCAAAACCGCGGCAGAGAATAAACTTGGTCAAAACCTGGTCGAAACCTGGTCGGATACTAAAATACTTGGTCTGATCCCTGGAAAAAAACTTGGTCAAAACCTGGTCGGATACTAAAATACTTGGTCAGACCCCTGGAAAAAATCAACTTGGTCAAAACCTGGTCGGATACTAAAATACTTGGTCAGATCCCTGGAAAAAAAGACTTGGTCAAAACCTGGTCGAAACTTGCTCGGATACTAAAAGACTTGGTCAAACTGCTGGAAAAAAAATAAACTTGGTCAAAACCTGGTCGAAACCTGGTCGGATACTAAAAAACTTGGTCAGATCCATGGATTGGGGTGATCCAACTACAGGCATTTTCAAAAAACACTTATTGGATTCAGAATGGGCCAAATACTTGCATACACTTCTCCCAGGCCCAAACCAAAAACACAAGCAACTTGATAAGTTGAGAAGATTCTTGATTCAATTGCTCAGGTTCGGAAGTCAGCTTGTAGACATCTGAAATCCGGCGAGGATCTCAAGGTGCACGTCCACATCTCACTTCCATGCACAGGTGGTTCACCATTAAGGAGGTTGAAGAGTTCAACCGGAAAATCCACTGATCAATATGCTCGTGAATACCATGACATGCTTGGTAGTTGTAGGAAAGTTCTTGATGGGAGCCATCCAGAATCCATTACTTTGGAATTGCCAAACTCAAGCACTTATTGGAATGACACCAAGGTGAAAGATTTCATTGATGAGTTTGGGTTGTGGAGTCGTGCAATTGTCCATGCATGTGCCATGGGTCTTGCCACGAAGGATGGGTATCCTATTAAGAAATCATTTCGAATCGTGTGTACTGATGATGACTTTGCCAGGATGCTTGAGAAGCGTTTTACATGCCAATGTGAGTTCCATTCTCCTTTTAACGAGGTTAACTGGAAAGGAACTGAGAACTACTGTGAAGTTCGGAAGGTTTGTTGTGAGAGTGTTGAACTTGCGCGTTTTTGCAGGCCAACACGCGGAGTCATCTTCCAACCGCACGTGATGTGCATTGGAGTGAAAACAGGACTGTTGTGCGTTTTCGTGTCGACATGTCCATTCACATTGAACCGAACAATTGCAAGAATTGTTTTTTTGGAGTCAGAGTGATTCCGTTGACATTGAGTTGATTTCAAAGATGAATCAATTTTTGGATTTTTTTTTTTGGAATTTATTTAAGGTAAGTTCCTGCACTGCTTTTGGATTCCATGATGGAAGAGTTCCATGAGTTGCGTTGCGTACCTGATGTTTTGAACACAACTTGAGAACGGCAGTGGACCCCACTTGAAGGTTCGGAGGTTTGCAGCCATTTGTGAGCCGGTAATATGCTGCTGGAGCTAGTGTGCGTTTTGTTTTGTTGTGTTGTGTTCGGTGTTGTTTTGTTCGGGTGCGGGGCGCGTTTCGGTGTGATCTATCTGGCACAAGTCCCAGGTGATCGCAATCGCCATGGATCCGTGAGGGATGCCGAAGTCCAAACTGACCCATCTTCTACTGAAACTGGAACGGTGATACAACAGGAGCCGTTACGGGAAGCAAGTGAGTTGAGACGCCGAAACCAAAGTTCAATGACGGAGGTTGGACAATCTCAAAGCAATGCTCAATCGTCCTCGCAAGCTATGTTGCCAAGTGAAAATCAGCTACCAGCTGAGTTGGTGCCTCCAGTACCTTCAGTTCCGTTTCGACTTATGGTGAGAGCTGATTCGGTGGATATCCCTATCTTTTATTGGGATTGCTTTTACCATAGCCACCGAGGGTGCGCTATGCTCGTCACGAGTCTGGACATTGGAGCATCAGCCCACAGGCTGACCTTTTGCCACTTATGCGGAAACGAATGGGAGGGGTACAGTGGAGTATTGTACTACAGTCCTATCAGCGGCAAGAAGTACCATATCAGGGAAACTGCAAAGGATTGGAAAACTCCTCACGTATCGCTACCCTTGAGCACTGCTACTACTGCTTTGGTCGTGGGAGATGAGTGAGCTTGGACCTGTATAGATTTTTTGCATTTCAGACGAGTGGTCGTGTTATGAATGCTATCCACAACTCAACCTCGAAAGGGGTTGTGGAAATTTGTAGTTTAGCACTGAGCGAGGTAGAGTTAGTTAGACAGGAAATGTTGTGTAGCTCTCATTGGAAATGATGAGAAGCACATTTGAGATGGTTTTGGAAGTTTCCGAATGTTTTTAGGTTTTTGTGTCGCTTAGCAGATGTTTTGACAACAGCAATGTGTTTAGAAGAGTTTTTAGCTTTTTAGGTACTTGATGAGACCTTTGGTCGTCATCTGAATCGTTTTGAAGCGGTTCGCAACATCTTCGATGTTGCTGGAATAGTCTAGCACTGCTACAGACCAGGAATAAGCCTCCTGTGTTTACTACGTTAGCATGTTTATCACGGACTACTTGTTTGGCTCAAGAACCAAACCAGCGTTGTGGTGAAAAGTGTTGAGTGTTGTGTTGTGTGAAGCCGTCTGAAGCCGTCTGTCGATTACCAACACAGAGCGAGAGAGTGAGTGAGCTGAAGCTGAGGTCGTTTAGGTCGTTTAGGTTGCAAGGTCGTTTGCACTCACGTTTTGGAACTGGAACAAGTAAGTTGTTTTGGGTTGATTTGGAACCGCGAAACGTTTTTGATTTTGGTTTTCAAAACTGAGACGTTTGTGTTTCAAACTTTTTCGAAAGGTATTGCAGCAACACCCAACATTTTCGAAGAGCTTTGCACGTTACCAAAGAGCTTTCGGGACGGTGGGCCCGCCACGGCTTGTTCAATACCGTCCCACCTCCTTTGATCAAGGCGGTCGATTGTATGCCCAGACACCAAGTGCGCAGTTGTTCCCCAAACACCTTCGGGTTAGCCTGTTTGGCCATACACATTTTGATGTCGACATGATCCAAGCTCACTATGAACTAATCCGCAATTTGAGCTCCTCCCCACACCTCCTCCCTGCTTGGCAGATGAGACAGTGGGTAAAATCGACATGGACATCCTTTGGCATACCGGAGTTTCCTGATTTTGAAAAACAATGGCCCACCCGTATTCTCAATATGGCGACTGTGCAAGAAATGAGGAATTCACTCGTCAAACTGGGCTGTCGGGATATCCCAGGACCTCTAGATGCCTTCATCCAGCATTTGTATGCGGCTAAGATGTCTGTTATCAACCAGCCCCTTTCCTGGTGTCCTCGACGTTGTGTAGAACAAGATCAAGGGTACTCGTATCGTATCTTAGAGAACATCGAACGAACGGTTCTTCTTAAGCTTTTGGATACCCTTCAGTCCCTCATGTCTGTTGAGTCAATTGTCTTTATTCATGATGGCTTCCTTATTGCTCCTGAACCGCCACCAGCGGTCTTGCAACAAGCACAAACTGCCGTCCTGTCTAGCCTCCAAATTTTGACAGTGCACAGCCACTCTTTAAATGTGTCAGTCTCAAACCCCAGCTGAATCAATTGGAAGCTGATTTGGCGGCAGCGCCTTGTGCTCGAGTACCTGACTTGCCTGGTGCCACCCTTCACACATTTTGGAAGTCTGTAGCAACCAAGAGACCTAGGGCCTTATTCTCCAACCCAACTGCAGTTGACAGTCAAGAGGTTCGACTCACCAAACGTCGACGAAACAGTGCGGGCAGCCTCAAGCGAAGAATGACGTCGCATTCATGACCAATTTTATTCACTTGATCATGTTTTGCTCCTAACCGTAATGCCAGGTCAGAACGTGTGCCAATAAAAAAAGGCCTACTGGCTGCAACCTAGCGAAACCACTGGGTTTTTCTGACTGGTGCGCAGGGAGTGTTGTAGTGGCCCTTCCACTGACTTTTCGGCTGTCTATATGTGACCCTCATGTCTCTTGTTAGATTACGTTTGGAGGGCTTTGGGTCGCCACCGAAGGAACCAACCTGATTTTTTGGCATGCCACTGCTGATCTGAACCATACCCCCTTGGTCAAACAACAACCAGCAAAGATGTGACAAAACCAAAAAAAAAACCTCCGGGAAAGAGTGTGGTTCTTTGTTTGGTTTTGGTCTCTTTGGTTTCTGTTTTTCCGATGACTGATTTCACACCTCCATTGTATTCACCTGTTGTTTGTGAGCCATGAGTCGATGAATTCTGGTGTCTTTGGACACGTGTGCTTTGATGATCACTTTGTGCTTACCGCAGCCCTTGGCTTTCTCACAATTACAGGGCACCTGCAGTCGGAGGCCACTGGGCCTTTACTGCTGTGTCTCCTGTTGACCATATACCAACATGCATGCCTGCGCAATGCTCATGTCAACGCTCATGTCATGAAGACATCAGTTAGCTGTTGCATGTCTTACTTGCATTAGTGGCATATAGGGAAACCACTGGGTTTTTCGCCTGCCATGTCGTCATCTCAGCTTGCACCCGGTACTTCTGAGCTCGTGGCTAGCTTGCCAGCTGACGGAGGGCAAGTTTTGCTCTTCACATTTGCTTATCCGTTTGGCCCTGAGGTTGGATACGCCAGTTTAGTTACTGTCACTGCTCCAGATTTGCAGTGCTCTGGCAGAAGCGGTAAGATCAAATTTGATGACTGGTGCTTCGTAGGTTTCCCGTCTGACTGGGAAGCCATCCCCTTTGAGATGCCGAACGGCTGCGCAAACCTGTTGTATCCTGAGACTGTCATGGTTCACGCCTGCGGGCTAATGCTGTGCGGCCCCAACAGGTTTGTTCGACACTGGCTGGACGTCTTCCTGCGTGAGAGGCTGCCGCCTCATACGTGTTTGGGCCTGGATTACACTCAGCTGTTCCTGGTGCACCTGCAGGCACTCCCATATGGCCGCACCTTTGTTGCCACCCATGATGGCCTCCTCCAGTGGAGGGACGAGCCCTATAGGCCCGGCAGACCTGCTCCCCTTCAAGCAAAGCACGCAAGTAGAGTGTGGGGTGCCCAGTCTTCAACAGATCCTCCCTCATTCTGCAATGAGGACCAGCCCCATTTTGCTGCACCTGGGAGCTCGGCTATGACAGCAGATGAGTGGCTTCTCCATATGCTGCACCCTTCGGTGCGTGAAATAGCGAGGGAGCTGGACGTGCTCATGGGTGAGCAGGCTGCTGCTCAGAATGAAGTATCTGGTCCTCCAAGTCTCTCAGAAGCTCACCTCCGCACTTTGGCTGTGGTCCAAGGTAGAACGCTTTCTGCCAGTCTGCTGGTAACTACATTGCTTGACCAATGGGAATCCATTATCGAGCCGACGGTCATCCCTGCTGAGGAGGTTGCAGATGATGCTGAGTGTGGTGACCAAGACTCCTGATCGAAAAGATGGGGATTGGGTTACTGTCTGGTTCTGTTTTTTAAGATGGTCTTATTTCAGAGCCCATTTGCTAGGCATACTAGGTTGACCCTGCCTGATCACCAACTGCAGGGTGACACAGTTGCTCCCTCCACTGTTCATCTCCAAGTGAATACCTTTCGGTTTCTGCTGTAGCTGTTTGGCTCCTGGGAACCCACTGGGGTTTTTGGGTTCATCCACCAGTGCTCCACGGCTAAGGTGTTCCTGGGAACCCACTGGGGTTTTTGGGCTCATTTCGGATCACTGACCATAAGTGAAACAGGGCACCCACTGCATTGGAATTATTCTTTCACTTATACTCTGGAGGCCTTAACTTGCATTCATTCACCCAGGGCGACTCTTTAGTCAATTGCACCTTCCGGTTTCTGGTTTTGTCTGTTGATTCTCTCATTGACGTGTTGATGGCCCTGTGAATATTGATTCGGTTTAGTGGTTGTGCCATTTTGTGGCCATGAACGTCAATCCGCTGCCACCACCGGCTTGCGGGGAGCTTGCCATGGAGGTGCAATGGCGCCCGAGCTGATGAGCCGGAATCATGGGAGTCGCTCAAGGTCTACCTCCCTGCAGACCCAACTGTGACAGTGGATGTGACTTCTAAGACGTCTTTCCACTTTGCTTTTGGTGATGTGCAGTATTATTGCCTCAAGGCATGGTTCCATTGGCAAGAAGATGACGAGATTCGTTCCTTATATGTTCTGCACTATCGACTTCACCAGGCTGATAAGGGTTGGGGGGCATCAGGATTGGGGTCCCCTCAAGATGACCCGTGTGGAACTTCGCTTCAAAAAGCTACGTATGGCCCTGGATTCTGGCGATTTCATGCCAGTATACGGGGACACAGGCATGTACATGATGCATCTGACTGGGGCCACGATTCATGCACCAACCAAGAAGCTGCTGTGCCGGCTTGCTCATCATATTTCCTTCCATGAGGAACGAGATCTCCTTCCGAGTCGGTTCGATATAGTGTTTGACAGAACCTTGCTGCACCAAGGAGAGGGCTACTTGGGTCGGGTGGTTCCCCCAACACATCAGGATGACCGGCACCATGATGTTCCTATGACTGAGGGTCCACAGCTGTTCCGAAACGACCAGCGCAGAGACACCACCGAGCTGCAGGTTCAAACGCGCCAGCTCCAAATGGTAGCCAACATGCTGGCTTCCTTAGAGGAACTCACTGCCTCATTTGCCCCCCAGTATAACTGGAACAGCAGGTATGCTCGACTCCGGGGTATGCTGAGCTCAGTTCAAATGGTGCATCGAGTCAGATTTGCACTGTCTCCGGTGGGGCAGGATTTGGGTGATTTGGACTGAGGACTGAGTGCCAGGTGGGAGACAAAAGAAGAACTGCCGCTTACAGAGCATCCACATCTCCTCAGTCTAGAGGTCTTGTTTTCTTAACGTGTGTAATTGTAATTCACTCTGCTTGATGATTGTTCATTGATGCCGTTCCCCTCAAGACTGCTCCTGCTCTGTTGGTTGAGGATGTCTGGGCCTCATCCCACTTTGTTTGTGACTCATGAAAGGGTAGGTTTTCATTGGCTCCCCGCCTAGTTTCCCTCTTGATCCTCAACCTCATCTTGTTTCTGTTGATTTTTGCATTAGGTTTTGCACCTTGAAGGCTGGTTGTTTGTTTGAGTTCATAGAGCTTTGCCATGGGTTTAGATCATATGTGGCCTGCCTGGACTTTTGAGCAATGGTGCCGCTCTGCTCATCATGGACCAGGAGCCACGTACCCATTGATCAAAGGCTTTTTGCGATACCTGCGTCAAGTTCGTCAGACAGTGCCTCCGTGTTGGAAGAAACGGTATGTGCCCCCGACTTGGCTGCTGGTCAAATATCGCAAGTACAAACGGAAGTCTCGGCGCCCACGTAGGAACCGCCACAGGGGCAGGCACCACTGACACAGGCACTGCTACTGCGGAGCCCATTTTTTGTTTCATGTTCTGTTCACTGCCGGCAGCATTTGTGCCGCATATGACAAGCAGGAAATGAACCGACATCATGGTACCTGGGCGGTTTTGGCTTTCGCAGTATTAAGATGATTGGGGGTAAAGGGTCCTGTTTGCAAATCTGTTTCATGAACTGGATGGCACCTATTTCGATTAGGCACGTCTTCTTTTGCAGTCTTGTTTTGATCTTTGTTTCTTGTTCTATTTCGTGACAGGAGCTCGCTGCAGGTCACTGATGTAGAGTCTCATGATTGCTTGAACAATGCATTGTATTCAGTTTTTTCCAGGTTCCTTATGCATTAGCAATCTGCATTCTCCATGTTCTTGTTTTGTGGCTCCAGCTTTGGTTTGCCATGCTTGCCTTGCTGGTGATTGACACTGGTCCTTTGTTCACTTGGCCTGGCCTGCATTGAGTAGCCTGTGAATAGTATTGCAGCCACATTCTTCGTTCGGCCTATCTTTTTTAGAATTTTCTGGAACGGAGGCTTTTCTGGAGGCCACTGGGCCTTTAGAATTTCCTGCCGCCTCCTTGGCATCGTTTTTTGATCATGCACTCTCAGCAGAACCCTTTCGCTGCTCTGGGAGGGGTTGACGAATCCCCTCGATCAAGTGTTTTCACTTGTGTTGACACAGATGCCATTGCTGAAATTTCCAAGCCTGATGTATTTTGGATGGATGACGGTTTATGGTGCTTGCCTGATGGGCACCATTCCAGTGCCCAACTTCGTGAGGAACTCACCCGCTTTGACTCGACCCCGGTGAAAGTTGGGACCTTTCTTGGCTTTGACACCGAGATGCAACCGTTCAGACCAGCCGATGTGGTGCGAACTTCCCCTCACTCCCCAGAGGAAAGCTCTGGGTACCTCACGGCTGGCGATGGAGGCCAAGTTGCCTTTGGCCATATCATCCAACATCTGTTGAAACAACGGCAGGATTTTGAAGGTGCGCAAACAGTCTACCTCATTGTCGATAGTCGATTGCCAAAGGATGTTGACTTTTGGCCTGCCTTTCAGCCGTGGTGGCAGTCCCGTGTTCAGCTAATAGGAAGACACCGTGAAACCACACGCCTCTGTTGGTTCCAAATCACCTCGGGTAGTGGTGTGGAATTTATCCCACATATCTGGGCAGGGGTATTTGTTCTTTTAGTTGCTCGGTTTCTTTTTCCCAGCATCCATATTGCCCTTGTCGACACGGACTGCGTGCCGATCTCTCTGTATGAAATCCAGGACTTAGTCATGCTTAGCCAGTTAGAACTGAGTGCACACAGTACGAACACTCCTCCTGGAGGGGTATCGCCGCACGCCCCGGTTGCTCCAGGCATGCTCCTTTTTTCCGAGCAATTTCATGACATTAATGCAGGCCTAGTTATCAGCCTTGGTGACCCGAAGGCCGCTAAAGTTGATGAAAGGCTGCTTATGGCAGAAAGAGACTCACTGCTGACGAGTTCTTCCCCCAAGCAACCACCCACAACCATGTTTCGCCAGGGCACTTTGCTGACACCTTTTTTGGGCATTCAGTGTAAAACTCCATGGTTTGGGCTCTACAAGGCCTTTTGCTCACAAGAACGTACTATGTTGACTCATCTTGCATGCGACCTGCCATTTACCACTGTTTCGGCCGTGATAAATCGGGTGCCAAGGGTGCATTGAATGCGCTTGCTCTGCAAGGTTGGGAGACGCTGCCAGCTGTCTTGCTTGGAGTTGGTAACTTGATGCCCTTGTGGCAGCAAACCGGGTGGGCTTCTTTTGGAGGAGTCTGCTGGCATGGCCCTTCTAGTGCAGTCACGCTCACTAAAAACCTTCACCGGCTTTTGTTTGACTTGTGGGATTCATGCCCTGGACAGCGCACAGCTTGTTGGGTTGTTCACCCGGTTGGTATTGGCGTTCATCTGCCACGACGAAGGGGCCACGCAGTTCACCCATCGGAAGACCCTTCTGAGGGGCCACTGGGCCTTCCGTTGGGTCTCCCTCTGCAGCTGCAGGGCCGAACATGGTTGATACTGCAACACCTCCTCGTGAAGGACCCAAGAACGAACAAGTTGAGCTGGAGGGCTTTCCCAAACCTGCATCTTTGTCGACAGAGGTGTCTGGGAGACCACTGGGTCTTTCGGATAGCACTGAGGGTGCAGATTCTGCACCTGCGACCGGGCCTGATGCTGTGAGTACTGGTGCTGCCTCAGTCAGCCCGCTTGAAGAGCACATTGCCCGTCATGACTTCGAAGCCACCACAGGTGTACGTGCGGGTGAAGTAGAAGACACTCCTCGTAGTGCCAGCCCACACACCACGGAAGCTTCTTTGCCCGGGGTGCAAATAGTCATCGAGCTTTGTCTTAACAATGATGCCGTTGAGGGCTCTATTTCAGTGGCTGTCAACAGCTTAGAGGACGTTCCAAAAACTTATGATTCGGACACTGAACCTGATTTGGATGCCATTGTTGCGTCCCTTGCAGCTGACACTGACCCCCCTGATGTCCCCATGCCTGAAGTTGGCCAGACGGCGACCACGGACAGTGCGATGAAGTGTGAACCCAGTGAACAGGTCATGCCAAAAATGGAACACCAGGTCCCTCTAGAGGTGAAGATGTCTGCAAGTTCCAGGGCCCCTGATGTTGTCCCCGCCGGCAGCTTGGAGCAGCACATAGACCGGCCACCTTCCAAGTCAGAGGATTCTGTGCCGGGGAAGTGGAGCCCTAGTGCAGGTTGCGGCGGTCCGGGCTGGAGCGGGCGAACGAATCGCCCAGAATCCGGCTGTTGCGGAAGAAGTCGCAAGACCAGTGTCCTTACCACCTGAAGAGCCTCCTGGACTTGAAGTGGTACGAGGAAATGGGAGTGGCGGTCTGTTGTCTGGTTTGACCCCAGGTGTGAATAGTCTAACTCTTTCGGGAGTGCCTATGACACAAATACCAGTAGTTGCCCGGATGTCTGAGGGATTTCGTGAACCACCTGTTGTGGGTAATCGAGAAGAAGGACAGGGTGGAAAACACCAAAGCTCAACTGAAGTGAGTGGAGG